CCTTCACCTCAACCCCTCTGACTGTTCCCTCTGGCTCCCCCAGGCCAGGGACCGCAAAGTGCTCGGTGACTACAGCGGAGCACTGAGCTATGGCTCCACCGCCAAGCAGCTCAACATCACCGCCCTGGTGCTCACCATCGCCCTGCTCGCCCTCACCATCCTCATCGCCATCCTCATCGCCAACGGCACCATCGCTGCCATGAACAACTTCAGATACGAGCAGGAGCATCACCCCTTCTACGGCCCCACTTAGCCCCCCATTGCGCACAGCCACAGCAACACCTCCCCGGAGCACCCCGGAGCCCGCTGGAGTCCTGTCCTTCTTCCCTCGCTGCTCACAGCTCCTGCGGAGCCTTCCTTTGCCTTTCTGGAAGTGCACGGATGCACTTCGGGAGCTGAGCTGACTATAGCAAAGGGGCAGAGTGTGCTCTCCTGCTTGCTGCTTCGCTCTGATTCATGGCCCCAAGTGCCCCTGAGGAGAAGTGCCTCCTCCCGAAAACCTGGTTCAAATAAAGGTTTCTTTGGCTTTTGCCCCTGACTCAGGTTTATTTTGGCAGGGAGTGGTTTGGGGTCCCCCCACCCCAGCTTGGCCGGCTGAGAAACAGGCCTGGAGGGAGAGATGGGTCTTTGGCACGGAGCATCATGGCGATGATGCTCCAGGATGCACCGAGTTTGGTGAAGCTGGGTACTTACAGAGAAGAGGCATCCATACGGGATGTAAAGTGCTTGTAAGGTTCACCTTCACCCCAAGGATAAGGGTAGCACCTCACCTCTGCTGAGGTGTCACCAGGAGGATGGAGCCAGGAGGGGGCTGGTCTCTGCTCCCAAGGAACAAGGGATGGGACAAGAGGAAATGGCCTCAAGCTGCCCCAGGGCAGGTTTAGCTGGAGCTGAGGAACAATTCCTTGCCCAGAGGGTGCTCAGGCATTGAACAGGCTGCCCAGGGCAGGGCTGGAGTCACTGTCCCTGCAAGTGTTCACACCCCGTGGAGCGGAGGCCTCAGTGCCAGGGGTCAGTGGTGGCCTTGGCACTGCTGGGAATGGTTGGAATTGATGAGCTTAAAGGGCTTTTCCAACCTGGCTGATTGTGTGATTCTGTGATTTTGGACTGTGGGGCAGTGCAAAGGGCTTTGGGCAGAGGAGCTGCATCAGGCCTGTGCAGCCACATGTGCGGCAGCAGGGCCAGGATATGCTTCCAGAGGGAAGGGGAAGCTGTGGGCGATGTGGCTCCATCCCAGATCACCAGGCAGGGCTGCTCCTGCGGTGAAGTGGGACAGGGACCCCCCACAAAGCTTGCTCATGTTGTGCTGGGCTTGGCTGGGACTGGGTTAATTTCCCTCCCAGTGGCTGCACTGGGGCTGGTTTGGGTTTGTGCTGGAACAGGGTGAGTAACACAGGATGTTTGGTTATTGCTGAGCCGCACTTACACAGGGCCAAGGGCTGTGCTGCTCCTCCAGCGAGCAGGCAGGGGGGGCACGCGGAGCTGGGAGGAGCACAGCTGGAACGGCTGATCCCCACTGACCCCAGAATATCCAAGACCATGTGGCGTCACACTCAGCATATGAAGTTAGGGGAAGGAGGAGGAAAGGGGACATTCAGATCAACGTTGTCTTCCAAAATGACCGTGACGTGTGAGCCCTGGGCATGGCTGAACCCCCGCCTGTGATGGGAAGGGTGAAGGAATTCCTTACTTTGCTTTTTTTTCCCCTATTGAGCTGTCTCTATCCCATCCCACGCGTTTCCTCATTCTTTCCCTTTTCTCCCCATCCCACCGGCGGGGATGGAACAACAGCTCCATGGGGCTCTGTTGGACCACGACAAGCACCAGCCCTTCACACCAGCCATCATGATGTGGTGGGAAGCAGCAGCACCCTCGTGCCAGCACATGGCCCTGCCTGGCTTCACCAGCATCCCTCAGGACCCAGGCAGGACCCCATGGCAAACCCTGGCGCAAACCCATCTGGCAGAGCCTCAAGCACACGGCTGTCCTGGCTCGCCTTTCCCAAAGCTCACAGGAAGCCTTCGTGCTCCTCATCCTCAGGGCTTCGGGGCTGGGGCCCCGCACGGGTGCGAAATGAGGTCTTTCACTTCCCAGAACACGATCTCCTGCCAAGCAGCCGCGCCCCGGAGGCAGCGTCAGCGGCCCCACCACCACGACAGGGGGCTGTGCAGAGCCAACTCCTGGCGAATCGTCCCTTCCTCCACTTCTTCCTTAGGGGGGAAGCCACGGGGAGGCTGCCCCTTCCCACAAGGGCATCCCATGGATGTGAACGTCCCATCAGGGGCCAAGGAACTGCTTATGAGACCAGAAACCCCTCTGGAAACCCTCATGCTGAGCCCCCGGGCCCCGGCTCTGGCCTCGCAGTATTGGCAGCGGCCGCAGTCCTTGCATAAGGGGCTGCTGAGGAGCCAGGGGATGTGCTGCATCCCGCATGCTCCCGCCCCTTCCCGCTTCCTCCCAGACCCCGCAGGAGCAGGATCCAACTTGTTCTGCCCAAATCCCTCCCAGCACATCGCTGTCCCATGGGTGGTGTCCATTGGGAATGACACAGGTTTGGGGTCACTGCGCACCCCCAGAGCGCTCCCCAGGTCCTCCAACACAGGCAAAATGTCCTGGTGCTTCCCAGGATGCTCTGGGCTGAAATCTCAGCAGGGCGGCCCCAGTCCTGTATCCCCGTTGGAAGCAGAACCTTGCACTTGGCCTTGTTGAACTCCACAAGGTTCCCACCTCTCCAGGCTGTTCAGGTCCCTCTGGATCTCATCCCTTCCCTCCAGCGTGCCAGCTGCTTGTGTTAACACTTGTGTGGATGCTCAGAACTGATGGATAAGGAACAAACCATCTGCTCTTGGTCCCTGTGGCTGTCCCTGGCCAGCACCCCAATGCCACAGGGTCTCTTCAGAAGCAGTGCCCCAGGAGGGACTCCAGCTCCCAACATGGGGAACCCCCACTGAGATCTTGTGAACAGCTTTACCTCAGTGCCATATATGAGGTTTTGGGGCTGGAGCACAAAGACCCTCTGAAACCCCACTG